GCAACAAGCTACACAGCTGCAAAGGACTCTTTTTTTCTAAGTCTTCTGTCATGATTGTAAGACATGGATGCAGCCCTACACTGTATAAAAATCTATTTTATTTCCATGTTTATTTCATCATGTAATCACTCTGACCAAATATACTGTACGGACTGCAAAGAAACTACAGCTATTGCCAGGCTCAATGCTCATCTGATGGTATGTGTTATCAAAAGTTCACGGAGGAAACATCAATGCCCAGGATGTCACTACACCAATAGAAAACAACCACAGTAAAAAAAAGCGAAAAATTAAATAATAATAATAATAATAATAATAATAAATAGACATGGGGCATCATGCAGTGCCTCCTCCTTTTTTTCTTCACTCTCTCTCCTCACTCTTTCCTTTCTTTATTTTTTCATTTATTTATTTATTGTCTTTCTTTTAATTTTACTCGTGTTGTATTCCTACCCACTATGTAGGCTACTTGTCAGCCTTTTCCTTTTTCTGTATCTCGGCTAACAGCACAGAGAGAGAGAGAGAGAGAGAGAGAGAGAGAGAGAGAGACTGGAACCCTATACAATAATATTATCATATTATATGCGTAATTAATACAGATTCCAGCCTCGACTCCAGTGGGTGCATCTCAAACCTTGTGCCTACTGTGTCCTGGATGATGGCGTTCACTCCAGCCCTCATGATCCTCTCCTCCTTCCTCTCCTTTATTCTGATTCATCACTTCTGTCAGAAAGCAGGTACCTAGTGTTGCTTCCTAATAATTGTCCCTGTTTTACTTTAAATTAAAACAATTATTCAGACATTTATGGAAGCTGTCATTATCACTATATTTGCTTGTGTGCAGTTGGGTGCTACTTTGTGATGATGCTGCATTCATTTTTGCAGACAAAGAATGTCAAATTCTCCAGAAAAGACCTGACACCTGGGCACAAACAAGTTGGAATAAGGTAATGAATTGTAGGAATTTGGGAATTTTATATCATCTTTATAAGTTTTCATCCACACTTCACACTTTTAGCTGCTATTTCTCCTTCTTTGTAGTTGTCTTAATGTATCACAGTCACAATATAATAGCAGAGCAATACACCTTTCATTATAATAATTCTAATAATATATGTCCCATTGTCTCTCAGGATGAAGATGTGTATTCAACACGAGTTGTGTTTCGGGCTAAGGAAGAATAAACACAACAACAGAGAATGGAGCGCACAGGCACACAGAATGAAATGAGTTGAAATTCAAATTGTTCAAATTCAGGACCAGTTGTCCTTTCCTCTTGTTTTTCAGGCCAGTTGTTGTATGTAGGTAACGTCCTGTGGTTTAAGACACTGCTGCAAGGTGAGCGAGCGCCTGATTTGTGGGGCCTGTTGCACATGGTTTGTTGATCAGGCTCATCAACCAGGCAACAACAATCTATTTTTCTGCCTTATACATTTTCACAGCCTGCTTGAAAAATACTTTTCTTATGGTAACTTTTAGACCTGTGTTCAAGTTTATTTACATCTTGTTTTTATTTTGAGCAAATATCAAGTAATAAGAGTGAGTTATACTGTTTTACACATAGAAAGTATTAAATGTTTTACACAGATTTCTAAATATAATTGCCTCTTGTCATTATTACATTTTAGTACCACACACTTGCTGAATTCTCATGTGTAAACTGTGTGCTAAATGTATATATACATATATATCCGATAGTCCCCTTGGCACAGAGAGATGCTCTGTGGTAATATTTATAGCAGTTCAGTTTCCACAGCATAAAGATCCAGGAAGATCCACAGCATGTCAGGAGAAAAAGCTTTATTGACCATAAATCCATTAATAGACATTTTCTCTCATAGCCAACACAGGAAAGAATGATGTGGGTGAATTACTTACTCACTGCTGATCAAATCTAAAAAAGCAGGCATCAGATAACCTTTATTGTGAACAATGTCCACGCTGTCAACAACATGAACCACAGTGGTTATAAATGCTTGTTGTTTTTTACATATTTCTGCTCTTTATGTACTTATGCTATGATTCCTAAAAGTTACAGTTAAAGTTAAAGGATAACAGAGTGCACAATTAAGCTAATTCCGACCACACCATGTGCTTTATGTGATCAGTAAAGCTTACAGGAAACCCACAGTGACAGACAGCCCCTCACATGATTGTAGATTGAAGCTGCAGATTAGTGGCCTGTTGAACGTGTTGGTGCACAGCCTCACTGTGTTTACTGATATGTTACATACAGACCATAATTTAAAAATCCCAATACAATGGTTGAATTGAAGAGTACAGTGACTGCAGTTGGGAACTCTCCTGCCCTCTAGTGGAGATGCTGGGTAAATACCCGTAGAGGAGACTCTTCAACAGTCCAGTCAACATTATTGTGTTATTTGTGACAACCTAATTAATAAAATGCAATGTTTTTTCTAATGGGCTTCTTCTAAATGTTACTGATTACCTTAAAAATAACTGCTTATGTTATTTTAAATAAGAAATATATATAATGTATATGAAAGCTGTCTTAGTCAGCACTGCTTATTGAATATTTAAGGGGTCTAAATCAGTTCTTCTTTTTAAATGTATAACATTACCCATTAAGTTTAATTACTGCACAGGAAGGTTCAATTCAGCTCAAACGTCAGACAGGACAGTAACCCTCAAACATTAACTGCGAGGAGAGGAAAGGTGGCTGCTGGGATTTATATTGGGATATAGTTTGCTTAAGTAAAGGCATTATAATAAAATGCCAGCCGCCCCTTTTAGTGCTGGACAACCTTAAAAACAAGATTCATCAGTTGACTGTGGTAAGTGTTTTGTTGTAGCCTAATTCTAACTTATTGTATTATACTGGCAACAGCCAAGCCATTTTTGCATGTAGCTTTGCATTTTGAGTGCAGGCTATAAATCATATACATGGGATAATTTATAATGCATTCAGATCATATTCAAGAGTTTTTTAAGTTTTAAATTTCTTTCACAAAGGATTGAGAGAATTTATGTTGTCAATGGTAAGTTCTTTATTGTAGAACAATGCACAATATTTCCTTTTTCAAAACTTCACCATGTTTATTTCCTATATCATCATTTAACATTACATTCATAATACCATTCAGTGCTTGTTCTTGTCTAAGACAAGGGAAAACATTTTAGCCATAGATTCCTTACTTAACAAATACAGTAATCACATGAAAAAATTCCAATAAGCACATTTTTAAATCAAGTAAAAACTTCTGAATTATTTTAATTCAAATAAACTACTTAAGGTACTGACTGTATGCCTGTAAACAATATAAGTAAATCCTCCACAAACATCAACAATTCAAGCATTCAAAATATGCATTTAAATGCAAACATTTCTTATTTCCTCATAAATAAATAAATAAAAAACAGTTTGCAAACAAACTGTTCATGAGCATTTGGGAATACATTTTTTTAATTAAACTTGGGTTGTCCCGATTCATAGGATAAAGATCAGGACAGATCCTTTATTGAATGGATCAATAATGGCTATATTAGGTTTAACACATTTCCAAACCTGTGGGTTATTTGTTTGTTCTTTGGGTTAAAAATGCCCACAGCTGTGATCGAGGTACCGACAAGTGAATGGTAGAGTGCACAATATAAATAGAAAGTAGCTAGCAATCTCAGTTACGAAACGTGAATCAGGGAACACTGTCATTAATATATATATATATTGTGTCTACTTCAGCAACATCTTAAAAGTGCTGATGATTAAAAATGGCATTTGAACTTTTAATAGTTCTAGAGATTTAGATCTGTAGCTTCCTGCTACAACAGATCCACATTGACACACCTCTACATGAATATACAAAACACTATTGGACAGGCTATATTTTCTAGTGCAGAACTATTAAACTGCCACACATATTTAAGGCCCCTGAAAACTTTCAAATCCTAAATCAATCCTGAGTAACAATTAATAGTCGAGACTAAGTAAGCAGCACCCAAATATAAAGTTAAGCAAAAAAAATCCTTAGGTATTATTTATTAAGAGTCTGAGCCTAAAAACTCCAATCTGCTTCATCAAGGCTGTGTAGGTGTTGTTTAATCATTTTAGGATCAAACTACCCACAACTGTCGTCAGATTCTGGTGTAAATGTGAAATGCTAAATCCTGATTGAACCCTTGGGAATACTTGACATGTTTTTCCAGATGACCCCCACACAGTTAAAACCAGTGAGTGTTCTAACTCTGGCAGTAAATAGTGTTTAAGTGTAGGGCCGTGTTATTCACAGAAGCTTATTGGCAAAATTAAATTGATTTAAATTGTCTTACAAATTTTGATGTGTGCACTGTGCACAAGCTGTGTGTATGGAAGAGGTAACAACAACGTCAGGATAAACTGTTTCATACTCAATACCACAGGCCTCAAATTGGAAATAGGGGAAGGTATGATTGGGACATTCCTAAATTAAGCTACATTTCTCTCAGAAAATAATATATTAGTTTTCTACTAAAGTCTCAAAAAAATTACATCTAAAATAATATATGGTATCAACCATATGTCTACATAAGACTTAAATACATAAAAAAAATCAACTGCAAATATTTCCACTGACAGTCATATTGATCTCACATTATGCAACTAACTTATGTGTCCGAATGTACTGTATTTTCTTGACTTTCAAGTATGTGTTGTGATTCTGTCAGTGCCTTTAAAATCAAAGTCAGAGAATGGGAACATCAATATGTTCTTTGTTTTTTCTTACTCTGTTTCATCATTCTAGACACTGCTGGCTGTAAATGTCCAGCTTTAGGTAAGATTATGCTTTGTAAAACTTTTCACTAAAAAATATCTTCAATTCTTCAATGAGGTCTAACTACTTTTTCTCTTATTCAATAAAATGTTAACAATAAAAAAAAGACAATATTCTAAGCTCATTGTCAGAGTTTCTGAAGACCACTTTGAACCTTATCAGGAGTTGACTCACTTTTCTTTTTAAAAAGATTTTTAAGCTTTAATGATTTCTTGCTCTTTTCCTTATTCTTGTGCTTGTCACCGGGTGATGGAGGAGATGAGAAGGGAATCCTTGGTGGTGACATTTGTGGCTCTACCTCTGCTAACAGCCTGCCCTGGGGAAGGTTGGGTGTTGAGGCAAAGAGGCTGGTTGGGGTCGTAGCCATGGAGTTGCAGGACTTTTCAAGGATTCCATCATAAACGAGCTGGCTCAAGGGACCAACAGCAAAAAAGTCTGATGATGACTTCCATGGCCCCTGGGAGGTTACCATAAGGTCTGGCTGTCCAATTCGACCTGGAGATGAACTTGATTCGGATGATCCCAACTCCTCCCTCATTATTGATTGTTTAGGTATTTCCATTGTAAGGTCAACTCTATCCCTGGGGATTTTTCCTGTGGGAGTGTCTATGGAACTGTCCATCTCATCTCTTAGCATTCTTGGTATTCTCCTTCTGAGAGAACCAGAAGACATCTCAAGTTCATCTCTCAGTATCCTCCTACTTGTTGATGGGTCTAAACCAAACTCTTGCTTCTCTGTAGAGGATGAGTTATCCATTAGTGCTTCAAATTTCTCTCTGGGTAACATCCTTATGGAAGTAGTATCCGTACAATATTCCAGCTCATCTCTAGAGATCTTTCTTTGTGGTGTTCTAGTGGTCTCAACCATTTTGTCCATTGCTAATGCCCTCACAGAGGAATCAAGCTGGCATTCTCCTTTATTCCATGTAAGCTTTCTAGAACCTGTGTCTAGGGACATTCCCGTTGAATCTCTTGTTATCCTTCTTGATACTGAGTCAAACTGACACTCATCATCTCGTATCATCCTTCTTGAGGCATTGTCCATTGAAGCCCCCATCATATCTCTTGATATCTTCCTAGGTGCCACATCTGTTGTTGCTTCTAATTCATTCCAAAGAATCTTTCTCACATCCAGAGGTAAATCACTTCTTTCTCTGTATATATTCCTTGAAGCACTGTCCATCAAATCCCCTATTGTATCTCTCTCTACTTTCCTGGCTGGAGAGTCTGCATCCAACTCATTGGAATGCCCCTTTTTAACTGCAACATTCAAGGGAACTTCACTCCTGTCTCTGGATATTATCCTTGATGTAGCCTCTATCAAAGGCTCTCTATCTTCTTTGGACATCTTCAAAGAAGGGTTTTCCAGAGAAGATTCAAGTTCTTGTACAGAAATCTTGCGAACTGGAGATTCAACCACAGCTTCTGCTTCTTTGCTCAAATGCTTTGTAATGTAGCTGTCTGAAAGCAGCTCAGTTTCATCATCATAGACCTTTTGAGAGGAAGTGTCAACAGTGGGACATGAGAACATTTTACTGAGAGGAGGTGAAGCCATATATTCTGTGTCTGAAAACATCTCTTGGGAGTCTCTATTAGTAAGGGATAGGAATATTAAGGGAAGGAAGGGACAAGAAGGAAGAAAAAAAAGAAGGAAGGTATGATCAATGACTGAATTAACAATGGTAGCTAAGTATGAGCAGTGCGTAAAAACAAATTGGTCTCTAAAAGCTGTGGAAAGGGAGACATACTGTTTCTTTAAAGTTTTCAGGAAGAGTTCCTTTTCCTCATCAAAGCAAGGGTATGGGGCTCGGATGGGGATGAGAAGGTCTGGGTCCTGGGAGATCATGCCAGCCTGTGGTTGAGTGATGACGCCAGGACGACGTGCCCGACATAAGGTGGATCCCCGTGTTTGAGGAGAGCACTTCAGTGGTGGAACTGGAACTATAGGAAGGCCAAATATGAACCAGTAAAATTGATCAAACCATACATAACAGACAGTGTTATGGTGGTAGCAATAAATATGTAACCCTAGTTTTCAACCTTAAAGGTTAAAACACCAGAAACTGTCAAAGCAATATTTGACCGTGCTTCCTCGCTAGTAGCTTGGTGATGTAGACACTATGAACAGGGCTTGTTGGCCAACTACTGTAGCTAGTGAGCTAACCACTGAAATGCTAGCTGCCTGGGAACATGCTAGTGCTATTCAGTCACAGTAGGTTTTCAAGCTTCTTTTTATTTTCCGTACTGTTTATGCACCCTATAAAGAGTTGTTGAATAAGGAAAGGAAGCTCTCTTAGCTAAGTTTAAGTTAGCAAGCTTAGCTTGGCCACTGACAGAATAATAAGCTCACACAGTTTTTTGTTAAAGATGTATTTGTACCATTGACTTCTGGTTCATAACTGTCTGAAAATGTTTCTTCTGTGGAGCAGTTTATACTGGGACAACACAGCTAATAGGTTTTAATAGCTTAGTAATAGCTACCATTTTGGAATCTCTGGCTCTCTATTCCTTCAATGGTCAGCATTGTCAAGATAGCTTGATATTGATCAGTGGTACAAGTTTCATGTCAAAGATTAACTAAATGGAATTAAATGTGTATGGATTAACGTTGGCCATGTGACCAAATGCAAATGTCACAGTTCCATTGCAATTTATTTATTTCCCCATGAAATATTGCCATTGTAAATGCTCGTGTGATTAGGCCCTAATAATACTGGAGCAGCTTTTTAGGAGCTATTTAGTTATGTATACTTTGCATTACTGAACTGTGTATGATACTGTCACAAATACAGTAAATCATTTTTCAGAACACCAAAAGAGAAGGGTACTTGAGACAATCCCACATTTCTGTTTTCAATTTATTGTGACATTAAGAATATTTGAGAATTTAAAACAAAACAACTTTATCTGAGCCATGTCTTAGCTGCATATACCACAACCACAGCACTGCAACGTTGATTTTGAAAATGCATCAACACTAAACTGAATACTAAATACTCCTTTGTATTGACTGATATAACATATCCCTTGGATATGTACAGCACATACAAATTAATGAAAAATTAAAACAAAATGCTGTTATGAGTGGAGAAACACAACAGTTGCAGATCTTCCCATACAAGATATGGAGTCACTAAATAGTTTGATACGAATCACATGCCTTGACTTCCACAGTCACTAGGTCTGAACCTGACTGATCACTTCATGGACACTCATGGGGATCCAAATAAAGAATCACCTAACCTAATGTTTCTGTTACCTACCTGGCATCTGTTGTAAGATTGGAGAAGTAGACTCTTCTAACAGATCCTCTATAGATCCATGGACGGAGCTGTGGCATGAACAAGAAGGCTGGGGCGCTCGGGGCAATCTTGGAGCAACTGAATCTGAGTAGAGCTGAGCAGTGAGGTTTGCTAGGCCAGGATTCCTAATGATGGGGAACCCACAGAGGCGCTCAATCTGCTGCCAGCGATGGAGGCGTTCCCGAAGGCAGGCTGTTACTTCAGACAGAGAATTCCTTTGGGAGATATAAAGACCTTTGTAACATATGTCACACAGTACACTAACAAATCTTGCACAGGTAATTTTGTGACTCACTTTGCCTCCAGGATTTTGTGGTCAACTTGGTCTAGAGAGGAGCTGTGGGCAACATGGAGAGTCCCCAGAACAGAACTCCTCTTCTTCTTAATCCTCTCTGCCTGCAAGGAAGTGTAGGTGCAGGTCAGTTAATAAAAAATACAGCATTCATAGACCTGTGTCTAAACATTCCCCTTGCCTTTTTTTTTTTTGCAATTATGCATCATGTCACTCTAAATATACTCTTGACCACTGTTCATTTGTGTCTCCCTTTTTCTTGAATTACCTCTTCCTTGGCAGAGACAAGCTGTAGTACAGCACTCTGCTTCTTGACATTGTAGTACTGGAGCTCTACCTCATGCGTCAGCTGCAGCCACTGCTGGAGGGCCTCTGAGGCAGTCCAGCTAGCATGCATTTCCTCCTCTGCCTGCTTCAGTGCTCCAAGAACCTGAGTGGATAGCATCAGTCAAATGTTCAGTTCAGTGTGCAGAAGAGATAAAACTGTAGTTAAAGCTTTATTCATTTCCCTAAAATCATCCAAACTATAGCAAGAATGACATGCATCTAGTGCAGCATTTGCAAAGTTGTGTCCTCTAGTTGTATGGCACGCAGTGTGTCTACCTGCTCCAGTTCTTCCTCTGCATATCGGAGGCGGCTGAGCTCACTAACAGCTCCCTGCCTCAGCTTGTGCAAACGGTGAGCCTCCTCCTGTGCCCCGATGATCTCATCCCTCATCTTCTCCTCCAGATTCTGTTTCTCCTCCGCAACATTACGTTTTTCTTCCTGGGCTTGCTCCAGTCTGAGAAAGTGAAATGTTTTTAGTGCAATCAAACAAAATAAAGTCAATTCAATAATGTACTGTGAGGTAGAGACACTGAATAGTGAATACTCACTGTTCCTGCAGCTCTATGAGGCTCTGTTCAGCCCTCTGCAGACTTTCCAAATCTTTCATCATCTTGCCTATGTGAACTTTACTGGCTTTGTTTTGGGCCTGAGCAAACCAACAGCCTCCAACTCCCATCACCACTGATACAATTAGCAGGAGGTCCTTCATGTAGTTATGAGGGGGACCTATGGTGGATTGAAAATAATTATTAATTGTGCATGGATAGTAAATACATCATAAATGATGGGATTGTAAAGAGCTATTTTAATTAAACATAAAGTTATCAAAATGGAGTAAACTAAAAACACAAACAGGAGCTTTAATGGGAACATGTCAGTAGTTTTCCTTCAAATACAGGAAAAACCTTAGGAAACTGGAAAAGTTTGTTGGTATGCACAAACAAAAGGAATAGATACATTAAAGAGAAATAAGAGTAGGGAGGGAAAAGAGGGAGAGGAGTTATTCTTACGTGTAGGCGGTCCAAACAGGACCACATCCAGAGCTTTGATATTGAGCTTCTGTTTGTCTCTCTGGTCCTGAACCCTCAGATGGCCACTCAGGAATGAAGGCTCATTAGCTGCAATCCTGCGTGAATATGTCATAGGCAGTTCAGCGTGTTGATATGACTCTTAACAACTGACTTGTTTTGACAGTGATGTGCTTGACCAACAGCTCTCAAGTGAGGCAGCATTGTCATTGGATATTCTCACCTGGGGAGTGTGTTTCCATTGACCCTAAAGTCTTTAAAATTCCTCTCATACTGTGGCAACTCAACAAACTCCTTCAGCCAGCGAAGCACGTCATCTTGAGTCCAATTGTGTACTGATTAATGAGACAAGGAAAAAAAGACAAAGTGAGACAAAACGTGAGACAAATATACATAGAAAGACAAAGTAGAGCTGGGCCTCGTTGGACACAAACACACGCACACATACACACACACACACACACCTTCAGACGACTTCCAGCCCCTCCAGAGCTCCTCAATTGTGATGTGCTGGTCTTCTCTGTGCAGGTTGCTGTGTTTGTTGGTCTGCTGCTGCTTCATGTCTTCAATGATGAACTGAAAAGACGGAGAGGGATGAAAGGAAGAAGTGAAAATACAGACTTGTTTAAGAGCAAGGTTAGAGTTTAAGGTTTAAGAGCATAACATTAGCTGAGCACGAATTCTCCGTCTTAAGTAAATTAGGTGGGTGGAGCAGTGTGTTATGTACTTTAGGAATAAGGAGTTGGTGTTTTGAGAGTGCTTTTATTTAGAATGAATGCAGAAGCATGAGTGTGTATTGCAAACTTCAGTGATTGCGAGAGCGCGTGTGTGTGTGTGTTTGTGTGTGTCTTGGAATGTGCCCTTGGCTGTAAACTGGAGCTTCATATGATGGCTAGAGGAATTTTGTGGCTGTGTTCTTATGAGCCTAGGCCCCTCCCCTGACATCTCTATGGCAACCGCAACCCGAGCCCCTGGATACTGTATCCCTGAGGTGCATTCTGGAAGGCAAATGCATTCTAGAATTCAGGATTTACTACCAATGTCACATACAACCAAGACACACACACACTCCTTGGACAAAATTCTGAAATTTAAACTGAACACCAAAATACATGTGCAACAGAATATACAAAATCACAAACATGCATGTACATCTAGTAAATATGTCTTCACACACACGTGCAGAGAGGAAAGACATTTTTACTTGACAAAATGAAAAATGTGTTTTGTTTTTGGCTCATTAACAAAATGTTTGCCTCTACTTTTGTAGAAAAGTATGCTTTGGAGGTCTACTATTCTTGTTTAGCCAGCAAGGTCCCATTGAGATACAAGATATCTTTCTCCAGGGAATACTGGTAATATATCAAACGTCTACAAAAAAGCAGTGGATAAATATATCAAACCTTGCTTTGAAAAATAATTTTGTTACATTTAGGAATTCATTTCACCATTAACATGTATTCATTTTTTCTGTGTTATTTTTTACTTTTTACTACTACTAAAAAGAAATTAATGGGATTAACAAATAACTGAAAGTTGATCAATTTGAAATATTTCCTTTCTCTTTGGTTTTGAGATAAATATATCAAAGGGAGGCAGTGTCAAGTTGTTGTAACAGCCATAACAAACTGGCTGAAGTATAAGGGGAGCTGCAGTCAGGGAACAGTCAGAGGAGTTATACCCTTAAGTATAAATATGAAGGTCACCAGTGTTACAGTATTCTATTAGTGCAAACCAATTTTGTCACTGAGCCAAAAGCAAAGTTATACCGTTGCTATCCTTGAAGTAGCATTTGACTCTTCCACCAGCCAAGACACCTGTTGTTGCATTGCTTTAGCCGGTCTGTCTCTTGCATGCAAGAAAATACCCTCCCAACAAGGATTCAAAACAGCTAAGAAAATGGGGTAAACATTTCATGAAGAGTGAGTTTCGTACCTCCACACTCTCCTCCACCTCAGATCCCTCCCATCTTGGTCATCGTCACATAAGTGATGGGATTTTTTGGGGGGCCCCCTCCGCAGAGCCTCCAGGCTGTAGCGAATCTGGCCTCTGCTCTATCATGGTGGGACACCCACATTGAGGTCTACAGATTGTGAGTCACGATTGGGTATGAACATTATATTTCAGATCACTTATTTCAATCATTTAATTTATTTACTATCCAGGAGATATCCACTTTCATTTTATTTATTATTTTCGCTCACTCCAATTATCTGAACACTCATTACAGGTGTGTACTAGAACTCTATTACAATGTTTGTTGATCTGTATTACAAGCAGAATAGCTGCATGTCTAATATTTGCAGGCATATATGAAAAGAAGTTGTGACTCTTTTGGCTTATAAAAGAAAAAGACAATTGTTTTTACTCATTCATCCTTGTATTTTATACCTTTATATTAATGCAAAAATGATTCACTTAGCAAGTCTCCCTCCTTCTCTTGTATTCATTAACTGCAATAATAGCGTTTCAAAACAACCTTTTGTGCATCGCAAATTGTTAATTTATATATCAGTCGTGTAGATTTATGTGGATCTACGCAGTAGAAGTTCTTCAGATTGCAACAATAAAACTGAACACTACTGCACGTTTCCATGCTACTATTTAAGGACCCTTCAAGAAATGAAAGACAAACGCGTTGTAAGTGTGTAAGAATAAACTATCCTGTCTTCTCAAAAATTGAGAAAAAGGCTATATAAGGCTCTTTCTACAGGCCATGGGGGGGGGTCCATGTGTGCGACTGTTATATGTATTTGATTCTCTCTCTACTTATGGTTTGCTTTATAGTATTAATATACAAAAATATGAACTACTTTTTTCCTTTTTCAAATTTGGCCCTATGCCATCATATTATTCAATCATTACCAACAATTTTTTTTTTTTTCTTTCCAAAAACAAAGCAACAAAATAAAATGTATAATAATTTTGAATCCACCATATAGTACTACACATTATTCAAAAAACTACCCACTTCAATGGATAGGCCTGCCAAGCACAAGTGCGCGCGTATGCCATGCAAAGGAGAACAACTCTAATTTACACACCTAAGCCTCTATCATACAACTCCAACTTATTACAACTCTATCCATCATTACCACTCAAAACACTTATCACTCCATCTGTATCTTAATTATAAATGTCCATCCATTCTACTTGCCCCAAACTAGATTCAACTATATTATTCAATATATTAAACTCATACTCTCCTCTTCTT